TCCCCGCACGGATATTAATATCCTTTTGCATATCACTCACACCGGGACGAAGACGTTCTCTCAGTGGGATGTGGGTCCCCCTCCTTTCATTATGCTATTTATCATAATTTTTCAATTTAACACTGCCATACACTCGGGACACACACACATCCCGAGAGAAGGACACCGTGGTATGTCCTGGTATGCTTCGCATCCTGTGCTGCCCGATAGTTTCCAATGTTTACTTGCGCAAACATCCTTTGACGAACTTTGCCCATTGTCCAGAATTCGCTTTGATGATGGCTTAGCCGTACCTTCGCTTTTTTGCATTCTCATCGATTCCATCTTTGGTCAGAGCTGCCCATGTGCATGTGTTTGCCTTTGCCTTTGCCTTTGCCCTGCCCGGCAAGGATCTCACCTGCCTGCGCTTCCGATCTTATGGCCATCGTCCTGCGGCCGTTAAGGATGACGTTATTAATGAGCATTTTGACACTTACGTCTTGACATTTGCACAGCTGGCCGTTTGTCTTAGGACTTTTGGCCATTGCAGCGAGCGCAAAAGGTCAACTATCCGCTTTCTTTTCCTCTGTTTTATGGTGACTACAATTTAAATAAATGGCTAATTATGTTTACTTTGCTAGGGATTTGGTCAATGTCGATGAATTTTATTCTGGGTGTTTGAATTGAATTGAGTATAATTTGAAAATATATACATTTTTGATAGAATAGTTATGTAAATATTCAAATAGGATTTTGATTGACTATGTTTAAGTTGGGATAACAATAACATCATTGTAAGCTTTGCTAATATAGGCTATTTCTCAGGTTTGGAAATCTGAATTCAATCGACTAAAAACAGTGGAAAAAGTTATACAACAACTTTTCAAAAATTTGAAAAAATTAAAAAACTAATTAACATTGTTTTTTTTTTAAATTCAATAATTGGTTATAATACTTTTATATTAAAATGCTATGCAATAAGGACTCATATGAAAGTTAAGATGGCTGGCTATCGACTATTATTTAGATTAGTCAGTATTTAGAATACAATCTATCTAAGTAGTTTAGCTAAGTATTTGTAGCTATTTAATAGAAAACAAAAAATCTCTCTCCAAAATTCGAACCTATGTTAATTAATTCATAAATCCCAAAATATTAAAAACAAACTTTAATAGTTGAGGAATGCCTTGGCTCGTAGCTTGCCTCGCATTGTCCGGTTTCAGCACACGGCAGCTGTCTTCGGGGCGATCGGATGACCACCCCAGCCCGGTCGCTTCCAACCCATTGCATTCGGATTCCCTCGGTCCGGTCCTTGTCCGGGATTGTTTGCCTTCAATTTGACTACAAACCATAATTTATCTTTTCAGACGTGTTGGTCAGCGCGACAATGGCGGGCCAGCGACAAGGATTATTGATTATGCAAAGTGCCCGGTGCCAGGACAATGCCGGGAAAAACAAAGGCTTAAGCAAAGAGAAGAAAGGATGGCCAAGAAGTCTCAAGCTGCGCGAAGGGGTTGCCTTTGCTCGAACTGGACAGCGGTCAGTGGAAGTTATGAGATGTCCGTGCCGGAATCTGACGAGCCGGGAAAGTATCCCCTTACAGGACACAGCGCGTGTGTTTTCGCCCATTAGAGAGATAATAGTTCCCGACATTCCTCGTCCGCTGGCCGGCTTCTCAACCTTTTCGGTGTTAATGGTCAGTTTCGCTATTTTGGCATGGTTAATTAATATCCAGCTCCGTCCGAGTGTGAGAAAGTTGGAGGCAAAGGTGAGACTGGGCGAGGTGAGAGGCCCAAGTTGTTGACGGATGCTGATGGATTAGGGCTGTAATTAATGATCTATCCGATTCAACGGTGTCTGTCTGGTAACTGTTTCTGGTTTTTGACCAACTAATCGATGGCATTTAAGGGGGCAGGACCTCTGATTCAAACTGAACTGGTTCGGTTGACAATAATGAGATGCCTCTTTCTCGCAGAAGTGTTCTAATAAAATAAATTAAATATTTTAAGGCGACAAAATAACTTGAATCAAAAGCAAAGATATATATATATATATATATATATATATTGTAATATACTGAAATCAATAACAAATTTGTTGCCAAATCAAAGGTCATAAGCCAATTTTTTAACACAAATAAGTAAAATATATACGCATAGTCGAATACTCCTTATAAAACAAAGTACTGCAAAAATTGGTTATTATGTAGACGTAGAAAAAATAGAAAATCAATCCGTAGTTATTTATTTTGTATGCCCTTGTACAAAGGGCAATCAAATCAAAACACCGTGAAGCAGACATTTCCGACGCTAATTTTTTCAGCATCACTAATAGAATCGATCCGGACATGTTCGTCTGTCCGTCTGTACCGTAGACTGCAGAAGTTTTCTTATCTTCTTGTTCAAAATATTAATCATTTTTGTTATATAAATGGTTTTAATTCCTAAAAATACATATTTTATAAAGTGCTTTTTTGGAAAGGGTTTTTAAAGTTATTCTATAGGTACCGAACTGTCATGCGAAACATCAGCCTATTAACTTTTTATATATTGTACTTCCAAAATAATCATTTTTGAGTTAGTTTTATGAGATCCGCTTTGTGATTTGTTTTAAATTAAAACTTATTATGATTAATGTGCTTACGAATAACTAAATTTTTACAAGAAGACTTAATTTCATTACCTTTTGAATGGCTATAATTTCTTAAATTCAGATTTTATAATTATCCGATTAAGAACATGTTTAGTATATATATTTACGATTTATTTTGCAAAAACAAATATTTACATTCATTACCGAGTGCTAATTAATTAAACTTGAAAGAAAACACATAAAATGGTGGAACTCTGCGCAATATGGTTTTTCCCATTTATGAAAAGGCCATTCGCTGGCACAAAGAACTGTTTTCAGTAAAGAAATATCAATTCCGATGAATCTGAGGGGAAGAATCTTCGGCTTCTGGTTCGTTCCAGAAGCTGATTTCTTCTTGATGTTTCCACTCAGAGACCCAGTGTCGTTGCAGACAGTTGTTGATAAGAAGCATTTTGTTTCTACGAGTGCCTGATAAGCGCCATTTAAGAGAGCGACTGAGGCGAGGTCAATTGACCTGCTTTTAAGCAGAGACTTGTGCACGTCCGTTCATCAAAAAGCGCTTTCGAGATTGCCGTCCCCCCCCCCGTTGCTTGGCCCCTTTGCACTGCCAATCCAAAAACCAGCCTCGCTAATCTATCAGTCGAGTGTCCGTCTTTGTTTTCGTTTCGTTTCAGGCCGTCAATTTTCAAGCCGAAAATGTAAACAAACCGAGCATAGAAAAAATATTAAAAAGTTCCACCACACGCTTATTATAAACAACAAATAAGTAGCTCTAAGTGTACATACAGAATCGAGACTCTTATCAGTCCGCTGAGGATGCGGATTATGGATGGTGTCCGCAGAGGCGAGAGCTGTGAGATTAATTCAGCTGCCCACTGAACTTTTGTCCTGCGACAACAGCCGCATTCCCTGATCTTTGGCGACATCAATTTTTAGGGTGAACAATTTCAATTAGGTTCACGTTGAACCGCGATCGAGATTAACGCACTGCAAGTAGTTTCTGATAATGCAATTTTTTGCAATCACCAGTGTGTATTTGCGTAATTCACACTGCCACTCGGTGGCAATCGCAATCGAGTCCCACGCTTCGCCAGACAAAGGTTGCTCATTGCCATAGTGGGGCATTTAGCGAGCGACAATGGAGGGACACTCATGCGGTCTGTCGCAGCCATTAGAAGCGCATTAGGGTGCCCACTCACAGGAGCAGCGACACATGCAGGCTGCAGCCCAAGACGCAGATACACGTTCCCCGAGATACAGTACTTCAGTACTGACGACGGCTGCCGCTGCCGCTGATGCTGCCGCTGCTTAGGATCCAAACAAAGGCGCCTTTTGTTGGCTCTGCTGGATGGTTGGATGGTTGGATGGTTGGATGGATGGATGGGTTTGGGTCTCTCTCCTCCGCTCTTGGCCAACCACAAATGACGCAAAATTGTCGCCAAGCCGAGAGTTTACCCACGCACACACACACTCGAGTCTCCTGACAAGATAACAAGATGCAACTGTGAGATACGAACGGCCACAAAAATACCGTTTAATGAGGCGCTCGCACACAGCTTGACTATTTCTTAGATCTTATCCGGAGGGAGTCACTCAAAGGATATTGGCCGGCTGCCTATTCTCATTGAAATCCATTCTATTCTTTCTGCTTTTTCGGGTTTTGTGGCCCATAACTCTTGTCGCTTTATGCAGCCGGCATTGTTTGACCACAAAGTGTCGCTGACCAAGACCCTTTAATCGATGGAATTTCCCGCTGCCTAACTGCTTCCTTCCGCAATTCATGTCAGGCCCTAAATTCAAGGGTCTAAGGCCTCGAATGTGCAGCGTCAACTGTCCAAAAGGATTTGGTGGGACTGCATTTTCACTAGACATTGATTATGGCCAAGTCGGAGCAGGGTATGAATTGACGACGTCAGCTTTTCACATATCCCGCTGAAAGCCCTGAAAGGATAATTGAAACGAGCTCTTGAGACCCATCTGAGAGAGCCTCTCCGCACATGAATATGTAATTTCGTACGGATTTGAATAGAAGGATGTGACAAAAAGCCTCAAGTGGCCATTGAAGAAACGATTGGGGGTGTGGGTAAATTATGAAAAGAATCAAAATTAAGTGGAAAGTTTCCCAGCTCAACAGTGACTTGTGTCAAAGCCGGCGACGAAGAAGAAAGGCCTAATTCAAATGCGCCATAAACCTTTTTCGCCATGACAACATATTAGATGGGACTTAAGCTGTAAACAATGCGGTTTTAAGGCCATTTGCCACACCCTCGACGAGTGGTCGCTAAAAAAGTTTAAGCGATTAGCGCAATTTAGCGAAAATAACATGCGAAATTGCGCGCTTCAACGCCTTTTCAATGGCACTTTGAAATACACTGTTTCAGATAGTGCAACAAGGGGAATCCCGCTGAGCCGCTTCCTGGGCTCACTTAATGTGGGAAAATCGTCGTCACTTGTCAGTGCACGCCCACCACGGCAACACCCTCGACCAACCCTTGTTTCCCACACTCGCACGGCATAAAAGTGTTAAGGCACAATGGGTCCAAACAATTGTTGCCGATCTGAAGATCCTCTCATCTCCAGAAGCGGATTGCCCATGCTAATCGTCAGATGCGTAAAACTCAATGAACATTCAAGTGCCCAGTGGCCTGAAGCCAAAGAAGCTACTGAAAAACAAACAGAGGAGCGCAGATTGCGAACTTCGTAATCCCTTCAATGCGCCACTTAAGCCGATCACAAGGAATCGGGACGAAACCCTTGCCGCATTCAGGACTCGACCTCGGGAACCTACGCGTGCAGCCTCCGCAGAAACTCTTTTGTGGACCATTTAGTGAATGCGGTTCGTCGGCTGTTTGGCCCATTTGTGTCGGGGCTTGCCATTCGCAACTAGCAACTCGCAACTCAAACTCGCAACTGAAACTCGACAAATTAGGCCACTCAGCTTCCAATGGCCTTTGTTCGCCTTTTATCCTTTTTTTTCGGATGCTTTGTTTGCCCTTTTCCTTCTTAATGCCGAAGATCATAATGTTTGCGTCGAAGGGTTGATCTTGTTGATCTTGTTTTTTATGGCGAGGATCCCTTTACCTCGGATGTGATTTATTTATTTGTATATCTGCCAGCAGGGCTATCTTGATCTGGGACAGTCGAATGCTGCCTAAGGACTGCCCTTTATTTGGTTTGACTTTTGCACTCTCATCTTTGGGATACTGCACGTGCCGTACGATTGGAATGACTTGCGGCAGGTAATGGAATATTTTCCTAACAATAACTAAACTAATAAGCTTTGTATTACATCTGTCAATATTGATTTACTGCAAGGTAATAATATTGTACTCATTAGCAATCAAAAGCTTACTACCCGTCAGGCTATTTTTGGCACATTTCAATCAGCAATCTTAAGCCAAATTTCAACTTTCGCTGCTACGCAAATTATCCATTAGGCTAATTACGCAAACATTTGTGAATATACTTAGCCGAATGATTGAAACGCAAGCCTCTTGTTGAACTCGAAAATCTGTTGATTGATGGGCGCATTGTTCGTGTCTGGCAGTTGCGCCATGGCCATGCAAAACCGATTGCCTGGGCGCCCAGAATGGACTCGGATTACACCTGGACTTGGTCCTCTGGACCGAGGACTGCGCAGAGCAAACAGATTATTTTCATAAATTAGACTTTATTAATGATTAAGGAGACAGCTTTCGAGGCGGCATACCCAGGACAGTTGAAGGACAACGGGTTTGGCCTGGGCTGCGATTTCCTTAAAGGATGCGAGTGCGTGCGGTCGAGAACTCACAAAGCTGGACAGTGGTCAGCGCATTGGTCAGTCACGCACATAATTTCGGCATAACCCCTTCGGGACAGCCGCCGTCCGCAACGGGATAGGCAGAGTTCAGAGGTCACCACCGTACTTTTGCCCGTTTCTTCTCACAGTCGTGAAGCCGAACAGCAGGAAACTTAAGACGTTTTCACGACGAATTTTAATGATTTTTGTATTCAAATGCGGATTGCTCCGCTCCAACCAGTTTGGGCAGTTCCATCAGCACCCAAGGGAGTGTCCAGTGAATGGCAGGACGCATATCCTGCTGACGGCAGGATTGGCCCATCGGCCAAGCTGAGTGCGAATCCGTATCCGAATCCCATCCAAAATGGCCAATATCCCATGTTCGCTTTTTTGCTTTCAATACTGCCAACTCTTTGTTCGGTGGCCTCGACCAAGGGGTCAAATCGAAAGGGCAACAGTTGATGTTCAGGGCGCATGTGTTGAGTCCTGGAATGGGTGGCCATTTTGTAGCGAGCTCGAATGAAATGTATCTAAATGAAGGCAAACGGTTTTCAATAAAAGTTCTGTCGAGTAGTTTATAGTGAGCTTTTCTACAGAAAAAAAACTAATCTGGCGCCCAAAATATTTCGCCAGCTGGCCAAATTATAAAGGTATATTTAGACCTCAATAGAAAAGAGTAAGCATACGCAGGAAGATATCATAAAAAGTTATTTTTTGTATTTTTAAAGTTCCCGAAAAGTAATTATGATATCCGGTGTGGAAATCTTTTCTTTTCAAGGAAATAAACTCTTTTTGCTGAACTTTGTCAGGTGACTCGTGTGGACCATTAAAAACTTTTTATAATTTTATTTAAACGGTATTATGCTTTGGGACAAAATCACCTCGGCACATGAGTTTTTGTCCGCCTTTTAATGGTTCTTTAACTGCTGGCCCAACGCTCTTTTAATGGCCCCTCCACTTGACCAGGCCACCTTAGTTGGTTTGTTGACACCTGCAGCTCAATTTCGGCTTTGTTGGTTCTGCGGATCTAGATCATAAGACCCATCTGAAGACGTCACTTCGGGCTGGCCAGGCTTAAACTTTGAACTTAGCCGACTGTTACTCACTCTCCAAATCTATTTACAGGTAGCGTACTTCCGGAAGATTTTGAGATCGTTAAATTTCCCAATTTAATGAAGATAAATCGTGGTTAGTTTTCATTAACCGAAAACAAGAACCATCTCACTGGGAAACTGTTTGGGTTTGAAATTTCACCTTTTGACATCGGTGCGGGATGTTCTCGATGTAACTTGGCAGTGAAGCAGCGTCTGCGGGAACGGTGACATTTAAATTAATAAACTGCCAGAGAGTTTGGGCCGTAACAGGCGCGTAACTGCAGTCAATTATTCGCCGAAAATATCCTGTTTCCAGCATCCAGTTTCCACATTGGCAGCAGCAGCATCGTCATCATCATTATTATTAACACTTTCCACGGCCACGGACTCGCCACTTGAACTTCGTTCGGCCGTGGATCGGGTTGTTCCTCTTATTGTGTTTTTGTAATGCCATATAATTACACCATCAAGTTGACTGATGACACGGAATGAATCTTTGTCGCTCCCTTACACAACATAACACTCGCTCACCCAGAATCTGCATAAAATCATAATTTGTCTTCGCGCCAACCCGAGGGAAACCCTTCCTTTCCCGGTTTAGGGACATCGTTGCTCGGGTTCGACTTTCCCTTCAATGGCAGCGAATCGAAGAAAAGAGTTTGACTGAGTTATCCTAGAATCAAGATGCAGGAGTTTCAAAATGTATTTCAAATATACACTACTTCTTTAACTATTTATCATTTGCCTATCCCTTCAAATGAAATATATCTTAAGTAAGTATTAATAGGGAGTAGGTTTTGAAATAATATAATAATAAAAAATTATAATGAAATATAAAATAAATAAATAAACTAATAAACAAATTCAATTTAAAGATTACTTCATTTAAATTCTCTGTATTTTAAAATATCAATTGTTGCATACAACTAACTTCTTTTTAAAGCGATTGGAATTATTCTATTATTTTTGGCTTACAGTGGCAAATCAATTGATCTGCGATGGAATCCCATTAAAGGGCTCCAAGTGAGTCCGGACGAGCTAATCCCTGCCATATGCCTACTAATGCCATCCTTCTTGGCCTCGATCCGTCATGGGGCACAATCGGAGGTGTCAAAATTTTTGACACTTCAATTTCTGCTGCTCGCACAACCCGAGACAAATGAGCAGCGCGTGTGTTGTGTGTCATTGCGTTACATGCGAATATCCTGGCAGGAGGTGTTCTGTTTGGGACTGGTTTGTGTAGGTGCAGCCGTCGTCTGTCAAATGCGTCTTGTCATGCATCAAAAAAGGAGAAATGAAAGGAAGTTGAAAGCCAGAAAGGAACGAAGTCAAAGCAAACAGAGTGAAATGGCAGCGGAGAAAATTAAATTGAAAATTTCAACACAAGCAAAGGTAGGCGGTTGGGTGGGGGCGAAAAAAAAGGGGCGGGGCGGGCAGGAAGGCTGCCACCAGGTTGCCACAGTTGACTCTTTTGATAAACAAACAGACAGCAGACAGAAGCATTGCAAAAACGTTGATTACAGCCAGCGAAAGAAAACGGGCCACAGTACACGTAACAATAATACACTGTACAAAAATTATCGAATAATTTTTTTAAGATAAAAAATGTACTATTCATAAAACCTTGTTTAATATAAACAATGTATTTTTAATATAAAATATTAATATTAATAATATTATCTATTGTTTATGTAAATAATAATTTTATTGATACCTTAAACCTTCTTAACAATTGAGATTCTTCTGGAGTTTCGATTGGATGTTATAAATATTTAAGTTGTTTTTAAAAGGGTTTTGCCGTTACAATTTACTCGCTTTATAAAGTCTATTGAAACAGACTCATAATTAATTATTTTATTTCTTTATATTCATTATATTTAGTTCGTTAGTTCTTAATTCAATGGAAACAATCTTTTTTATAAACTATTTTTTGAAGTGTTGCAACAAGAACGGGACAGTGGGACATATGAGACCGCTGCTTCCGCCTTTGAGTCGCAGCCGCCAAAGGACATGCGCCAAAAAAAAAAATGAATAGCACTAAAAACGAAATGAAAGCCGCCAAGGAAATGAGAGAAGCAGGAAAAAAATGAAATAAAAATCCGTTCGCGACTCGCAACTTTCATGTGTATCCATGTCAGCTTGGCTTTTGTGCTATTTGGAACGAGTTGTCAAATAAAAGCGGCAGCCAGCGGAAAAGGAGCTGGAGTTGGATCGTTGACTTGGCTGGCTGCCATCAAAATGGCGTCTGGCCCCGGCAAGGACTTTAAAAAGCTGCTCGGAAACCGATGTGGAAAGTCAGCTGCGACTGGCGCTGCTCGAGTGCTTTTACAGCCTCACCTGTCGCAGGACAAACAAATTTTAATCAAAATAGAAACGAGCAAGGTAGAGGAAAAACTACAAATCACATTTCCTGTGGCAACATCCACTTCCTGTTTGGCATGGAAATCTCCCAGTCAGCGTTTCACACGCCGACCGCCTCCGATTTGACAACTGCAGCCGCTTTGATGTTGCATGCAGCGCATTTTCCGCTGCGTGGTGTGTCATTTAATTGTCAGTCAGTCAACGAGAGTCCGTCAACTTGGTCAGTCATGCACTCAATCAGTGGCAGGACACTGCGGAGTGGCCAGGACAACAACAGGAGCAAGAGCAGTTCACCCCCTGCGACTTTGTCCGAGGCCCTCCCCCTCGATGAAGTGCAGTTTTTAGTTCCGTTCTCGTTCCCATCCCCCCCAGGAAGTTGGACTTCCTAAGCGGAACTGACTGCATTATCCTTCCATGGGAATGCCAGGACTCGCGGGGTGGCCACTGCAGCAGGACCAAACAACCAAAGCTTGTAATCACTGGCTGCGGTTCTTTGTGGTTTATTCTGGCAGCTCCTAATTGACGCAGTTAGTTGCGTGCTGTGACTGGAACCCTTTAATTGATACTCCGTTTGGGAATAGATTGGCACCGCAGTGATAACTGCTTTGTGTGGAGTAGAGTTTAGTGGGAACTAAATTTAAGGATAAATGCAGTTTAAGTTTGTTTGGGAGGTTGAAATTTACAAAGGCACAAAAGGTTTGACTTTGAGTATAAGATTGTTATTACACCCCATACTGGTACATTAAAACGGCATACTTTATTGATTCGAAAGTATGTAATAGGCAGACTTATGAAGTATATATATATATTCCTGAGCAGTTTCAATAGCCATGTTTTAAAAATGTATGATTTGGGCAAAGAAAAGTTTATGTCTTAAGAGTAGCTAACAAGAAATTTCGATTTTGCGAGCATTATAAGTACGAACACATTAATAAATTGATTAATAGTTTGGATGAATTGGGATCAACCAATTCGAGACACCCACTTCGTTATTGGCACACAAAGACCTAGTTATCGAGCAGTAATCCATATGTTTTATATGTTTTTCCCGCCTCCCCATTTCGTACACGCTCATCATTTGTTAATCATACTTAATGCCCCAAAACCGAACCGCACCTGCGGCCCCCAACGCACCGCAGAACAGAGAACAGAGAATGCTTAGCCGGAATAAATCTACCATAAAGATGCTTGACATTATTCAAAATACCAAAACTACTGGATTCCCGAAATGCCTTTGCAGGAGGCGGACTTGGATCCAAAAGCTGGAACGAGCAGTTGGACAGCGGATAATGCGACGACGATGACGATGACGATGGGCAAAAAAGGCAATAAAATTTAATGCCAGACAAGGGAGCCGCGAGTGGATCGGATCGAGTGGAGCGTGGAGGCACAAACGACTTCATTTTATCTTAATGTGCTAATAAATTTCCCAGAGACGAAATCTCTGCCAAAAACCAAATAAATTTACTAATACACGCCGCGGACATGGAGGGGCATATGCCCATGTCGCCGAAAACGAAATGGAGCGCCAAGTAGTTGAGTGAGTGGCATGCGTGGAATCGAAGAAATGCAATTAAGGCAGCCAAATCATCTAGAGAACCAGTCGGAAGGAAGGGCGGCCCGCAGCCCGCACGCTGTCTTAAGTGTTTAAGTAGCTAAACGCCTGACAACCGGAGAAGTTATGGCCCGGCCTGCAGTTTGAAGTTGGCGCGTGCTCCGCGAACCGACTGCACCCACATCTTCGAAAGTATTCTGTCAACACAGCGGAGTAGCGATCGCCACTTGAGTCTGGTGCTGACAATTCCGATTCCACCCCATCCCGATGGGAGGTTCTCTGCTCTATCACCTCCCCGAATGAATTGTTCAAGTGAAATTGCCCTAAAACTAAAAGGGTTCATGCCTTGGGCTCGTAAATTTGATAGTGCTCAAGTGGGGAGGTGGCACCTGAGTTGGCTTTGTTGGCTATATAGCCTATATTCGATACGAACAATTCATTTCGAATGGTTTTTCAAATTACCAATTTTGATATCTCAAGTTTTACGATCGTTTGATGGAAAATCGTAATTAATATGACATTTATGTCCCCAACAGCTGTGGAGTCTCTAAAATAAAATTTGAAATTAAAGTAAAGTTTTAAATAGTACTGTACTGAAAACTAAAGGTCAGTATTGTGCCATTTTTCATTCCCTGGCGAACGCGCCTTTTAAGGCGGTTGCCACCCTTAAAAGTGTCGCCCAAGATTCCCAACCATATATGCAATCTCATATGCATTATTTTGCATGTCTGGCGACTTAGGGAACTCAAGCGTAAAGGTCAAAAGATCAACGCTGGAAGGGGAGAACCGGGCGGGAAGGGAGGAAGGATTTTCTAAAGAATTTCTCTACTTTTCCTGTGTTAATGCTCTGATTTCGTTTTCGAAAAATGCAGCATTTGCATTTGTCCATTGTCCAGTTCGCTGATTAGGCGTGAAGTTTGGGATTTGAATAAGAGTCTTACCCTGGGTTGACAGAATCCAGTTCCTACATTTTGGCGGGAAAGATTTAGGTATAAATTAATTTAAGAAAATGCTGAGAAGTTCCTTAATAAATTCAAGTTGTTGGAAGATTTTTTTTTTATTTAGATAAAGGATTAACCAACTTTTATTATAAGCAACTAGTGAACAAGAAAGTTTAGTTTTTAGCTGTTAAAATATTACTATTCCATCTTAATCTATTTTTACTTTAATGTTCGTTTTATGAATTATTATAAGTACCCTTTGTGTGTTAACGATTAAATTCCCAAAAATATATATTACACTTGAAAACATTTATCTGGCGTTGAAATAGTATTTATTTAAACATGGTATTATACAATCTTATTTGCAGACATACCCAATACAAAGCACTCTTACCACGTTACAGAAGTTTTTTTTAAGAATCTCCCAAAGAATGAGGTCAACATCGCCTAATTAAGGTCACTTTCATTCCAGCTCCCTAGACCATAAATTTTTTCCCGAATAAACAGTCTTACAACACGTTCCGCCTTATTATGACTGTGCGAACAAAGAACAATAAAAAAAAAAACAGGGCAAATTTTTACCACCCCAGCGGGGCCGCAAAGAAAAAAAATAACACTTAAAAAATTTGCAAACATATTTTGCATACAGCAAAACCGATCATCAAATATTCACATGCAATCAACGGAAATCTTAGGTAAATTTTCACCCAGAATAGAGCACCGAAGACAAAGCCGAGAAAATATCCAGAATGCAACCACCGATCTCGGGAGATATCCAGCTGCTTGGCAGACCCACGTCACAATCACGATCACGATCACGATTGGTATAGATCTTTTGTGCAAACTGGAGCGAACAAATGCGAGTGCGAAAATCTACCCCATAATCCCAGGGAAAGACCCGAAATTAAACTTGGCCGGACAAAGGTAAATTCAAATGTTTATTTGCGTATCGAAATGTGCAAATTTTTTCCCATTTTCTGTTCCTTGAATATTCATAAATCTCTTGGCCGAAAGTAAATTCAAATTCTCGACATTGTTCGCTGCATATTGAATGTTGAAGGGGGGATATTAACGGCGGAAATGCGCACAATATCCAGTTAACTTGGGCTGACATCACCTGTCCAAATCGAGTGGCCCAAAAAGTCCAACACGATAATTGGTGTCATAAAAGTTAGTTAAATTATATTGGATGTCAGTCAAATCGGTGACATTCCCGAATTAGAAAGAGCCGCAAACAAAAGTAGTGGGGCGGCCACTCCATTGCGTGGTGATTACCACGGCCATTGTTTTGATGACACGCCAAATGGTTTCTGTTTGGGAGACCATTCCACCTGTCAGCCGAATGGACAGCAACTGAACACACAATTATCTGACTCTGCCTCATGACGAGGGCGTTTCAGGTGGCGCTTACTATATAGTATGTATAGTAAAGTATAGCAATAATCACAAATTTACAGCTTGTCATCGGGGGACAGCGTTGTGTCATTTGATGGGGATTTCTGATTGCAGCAATTATATGTAAATTAATTATGGGGTTCAGGTTGGACCTAATAGAGGCCTGCCTCCAACCCAAAGAGATACCTTGGCCCAACCTAAGTTGCAAACTAGTTTTGGCATGCAAATCGACAGGTCTACGACTTTGGCCAGACAACTCCAGATGCGATGTGCCTTTTCCTTAAGTGGCGAAGACAACTCAATGAGGTCTGTAATTGTTATGCTCCATCGAGGATCCCCGATCCGCAGTGCCCAATGCCCAATCCCCAAGTGAGTTAACATGAGCTGGCAGATTCAGATACAGATGCAGATTCGAATGGCCATGAAGTTGGAGATGATGATGCAGTTGCAGATACAGTTGCAAATGTGCAGCTGCCAACGATCGAAGTGGCGCGATCATGTGCAAAATGCCTCTTTTCGTGTTCCCGTTTTTGTTTTTTTTTTTGTTTTTTTGGGGCACTTGGGAGCACTTGACACGAAGAAATAATTCCATTGAGTTGGCAACTATGCCGGGAATCTCGAGCGAGACAAAATTAGACAAGAAGCGTGATTTACGGAACCCTTAAATCACATGACAACAGCCCAGATCGGCACAGATCGAGAATCGAAGAGCAAATGCGATGACAATGTCTGTGCAGCACATGTGGGGATGGGAAGCAGTGGATCTGGGATCTGCGATCTGGAGCTGGAAGCTGGGAGGCGGACAATGATACTGATACGGAGCCAATCGATCGACGCCTCCCCTTGGCAGACTCACTGATTTATGGCAATGCAAACGGCAGACAGATCAGACAGCCCGAGTAGAAGCAGATCAAAGCAAATCACACTCTGTGCAGCAGAGCTTTATGCCCTGGTAATTTTATATGCTTGTGCCAGGCCCTGATCATCGATCATAGACCACTGATCACTGATCACCGATCGTGTGACCACACTGGGGTATTTCCAGTCAATATAAAAAGTGACTTGTTGTTGTTTACCCACTTAAGAATCGAGATGATTCTATCAGCAAAGAAGCTTCCACACCTCCCGGCTTCCGCATCGCTGTGGAATTGCCCAAAAAAACAAAATATTTTTACAAACCAACGATTCACACCTCTTATTTTAGTTGGAAACTAGTTTATTGAATGACTGGCATAAAATTAAGGCTTATGCATTGTTCCAGATACAAGCCTTATTAGCCTACCTTTCCATTAGAGTTATAAACCTCTTAGTCAAAGTATGCATATATGTATATTATATGTATATGTATATTACTTTTGAAAGGAATCCCCTTTGGAACACGCCAGATTTTTAAACAAATATTGCCAAAAATAAATTAGCATTGATTGGACTTAAAAAGTCCAGCACGAGATCACTGCGCAAACCTGTTTATTGATTTGTTTATTTCGTCATAGAACTTGGGAATATTTTTTCCAAATCAACAAAAGAAAACCGCAAGAGTTGGTGGGGATTCTTGGCTGATGTTTGTATTTAGTCACCTGGGCAGAACTGGTTCCCTATTTGGGCATCGCATTTTGCATAGATTGTTCTTGAATCTCATTAATATCGAGACGATAAAAGCTCGAATCTGCGTCCCAAGTCGAGTATAAAAGCCGTTCTCAAATGCCGGCTTTAATCAGTTAAACCCGAAATTTCATCGCTATTGGAAGTTATTTGCATCGAAAGTGAAAATGCGTTCAGTGATTTTGTTAGGCCTCATTGTCTGCCTGGCTTTTAGCCTGGTTTTGGCGGAGTCCGAGAGTCAGTCTAATGATCTGTCGTCTGTGGAAAGGGATATTGGCCAGGCTGTGGAGTCCGAGGTGCGAGCTAAGCGACAGTTTGGATTCGGCGGATTCGGAGGAGGTTTTGGCCGAGGATTTGGCTACAGAAGACCCTTCTATGGAGGCTATGGCGGCTATGGAGGCTATGGTGGCTTTGGAGGCTATGGTGGCTATGGCGGCTATGGAGGCTACGGTCGTCCCTTCTACGGAGGCTATGGTGGTCCCTTCGGCTTCTACGGCTAAATATTTTCCAACAATAAACGAAGACTGAAACTGAAAACTGGGATAGTGTGTGTTTTTCCTTATGCAGGGGATCTACAGAGTCCCAAATTATCTCGCAACTTGACCTCGACCAAACGAATGTGTGTGACCCAGAGCGAAGACGTGATCGAGACTGGGGAATATTTTAAAAATAAATAACGCAAAGTCCCCACATATTTATTAGTCCGCTCGTTCGCAGGTCTTGCTCCTGAGCCATGCTAATTATAAGCACAGGAGGGGGTGTTGTGTGTTTGTTTATGCTCCACGAGCTGTCACGATCTGTTTGCTTTCTTTTCGGGCACTTTGCAGCTCCTCCTCCAGATTAGGCGGCATGTGTGGGAGTTTGTCGGGGTTTGCAGCAATTATCACGTACGATTGTCATAATTATCATTTGGATTTTATTAGCTGGACCTGCGGGCCAATCTCTGTCTGTCTCTCAGTCTGTCTCTCGGTCTGTCTTTGTTCTGCAGAAGCATCTGTGAGTTGCTCGAGGGAAAGTTAAAATGTAAATATTTGAGGGATGTCAGACGTTCTTCTCAGCGAATCTTCAACCATTAATCATGTTAACAATTAGACATTTAGCAGTCAGCTAATCAAATTTGCAGCATATGCGTTAAATATCCCATGGAGTTTTATTGGCCCACCGCAATGATGTACTAATCCCCTTCTAATCAACATGAAAGCCACGTAAATTATCCTCACTCCGCCGGTGCATATTAATTTGCGGCCGAAACCACCAATAGATTCTTATCGAGGGTTCGAGGGGTTCGAGGGGTTCGCGCAAACAACAAAACGCCCAGCTCGCTAACTTACCCCAAAAACGTAGAACGCCCTCGATTGAGAGGACTGGGTGGTGCTGTCATTGTTTAATTGTCAATAGACATCGGCTTCTATCAATATCATAAAAGCTAATAACTCTCGGTTGGATGGACGACGACGGGCCGCAACTGACAACAAACCTGGGCCAACCCCTCGCTCTAATCCCACCGGATATGCTCAATCAAAGCTCAAACTGGGCGGTGGGTGTGTGGGAGGTGTGAGGTGGACAACCTCAACCTGTCTGTTGGGGGTTGCTCGCTAGCTGGAAATCATCGCATTTCATTCATCACTTTTCGCCTTTTCAACGCGAGCAACCCTCCACGGATCCGAGCAGGACTTGGACATGCTTCCCACTCTCCATGGCTTGGCTGGCTTGTTTTGATATTAAAATTGCGTAATTATAATTAACCACATGTGTGTGTGTGTATGCGTGTGTGTGTGTATGCGTGTGTGTGTGTCGGGGGAAGCGGTTTAGCATGTCCTTTGACTGCTTCCGCTTTATGACAAAAGGCGAGGCGGTTAAAGTTACTTCCTCCCGTTAGTGTCACGTGTGTAACTCTGTAAGCGATCTGAGGGAAAACCCCTACCTCTGCCCCCGGGGGCATAATCCATAACTTAACCAACTGTCAGGCAATTGATACAACTTCCAAGCGGAGTCACCTTGTAATTAAAAAGGGAATATTTTCATTTTAATTAGAACTGCACACCTTCTGGGGTTAGATATCAAAGGATTTTAAATACACTTTGTAATAAAAAAAACCTATTTTAATTAATCAATTTCTTATACAAACAAATTTATAATTTTATTCTATTATTTATTTTTTTATAAGTAAATCTTTTGTCAAAATGGACTAATAATATGTTAAAGTTAATAATGCCTAAAAAATACTATATTATTTGTGTTAAAACTGTGCAGTTGCTTGTATTAGGTCATCTTTTTACAGCAGGTTACCAAATTAGCCATACTATTTTACTTAGGTTGCACTTGAATCTTATTATATTAAATACCGAGTATAAAAGACCTTTCAAGAGCTAGCTGTGTATCAGTAAAAACGAAAGTTCTGAGCTATTCAAAGTTAAAATGCGCTTCGCAATTTTGTTCTGTCTAGTATCCTTCCTGGCTTTTAGCCTGGTCCTAGCCGGAGAGAGGTCCGGAAAAATGTCTTTGAGGAAAAATATTGGTGAGACTGCGAAGCCCCAAGTGCGAGCTAAGCGTTTTCTTCCTTTCTTCGGAACGAACGCTGGAAATCCTAATCCTAGGCCCATTGTCAATGGATTCTATCACCCCTCTGGCTTTGGACATCCTGGATACGGAATCTACTACCATCCTTACGCCGGCTACGTTAGGTTCTGAAAATGAAACTAAACACCATACTAAACGATAGCTGAATATTTTGAAGTTGCTTGTTGTTTCGAGCTTGTTCAAAATAAACACTGCTGTTAAGCAGTCCTACACTATCATCTCTCCACCGACTTTTACTTTTCCCAAACTACACATCCATCAACAAATGCGTATGGCCCATAAATTCCCTAATTGTAATTAAGCATGGGAATCCACAAAAGATGCGCAACAGTAGAACTTGGGAAACCGAAACCGAATAACAGAATAACGCAATAATGTGGCCAATAAAATTACTATGGGTCTAGAGTTTCCGACGCGGAGGAGTTGGACCCATGAAAATTGTAGTAGGAGTAGGACTATGCCAGTCCAGGTTGCCGACATTCCAGATACCAGAAAAAGAACCAGAAACTGAGACAGAGACAGAGACAGAGACAGACAGTGCCGCAGATGAGAATGGACTTGCGCTGGGGGATTACAAACGTGTTGCCATTAGTTAACTTCAGCTTTGATTGATTTCAATTAATCTTGGACGCGTGTAATTAATCATTGAACACTTTAATATGGTTAACAACTCTTGGCCAAGCAACGGTTAAAAAGGTTCAACGAGCCATCGTCCGGCGAGCCTCGGCCCAAGACTTTTGGCTCTGGCAACTGACAAAGTGACTGACCACAAGCCAGATTGGAGGATTGGATGACTGGCTGACTGGATGACTGGAGGACTGGAGGACTGGACAAGGGGCTCTGCGGTTGCCGGGGCAGCCGCCACCAAGAAAAATGGCCAAGCTTGGAAAATGCGTTGGAGTAATAGTCGGTAACGAACCCAACAGCACATGCATTTCCATAGCCCAGTCCCGGAGGCAAGTCTTCGGCCTTAGATTCAGCTCCAGACTCAGCCCCCGACTAATTGTACCCAGATTTCGCGCCACTTTGGCTTTGGTTTTGAGCTTTGTGGTCTTGGCAACGTGGAAAGCGGTCCGCGATTGATGGCTATCAATGCCGATGACTTATGGCCGGAGTCGCAGACCGAGGCTCACACGAGTGGAGCCAGCGGACCTGGCAAATCCATCCATCTATGTGGCACATTTGACTGCAGCTCGGTTTGATTATCTCGGTTTTCCCAACTCTCAATTGCTGGTCTCGTTTGGCTATTGATTTTCCCAGGCCGAACAAACAGCCATGGGCAGCGAGTAAAAGTCTGCCGATTTAGTTTGCGGCCAGGCCAAAATCAGAGGGTAAGAGATCCATGTAGGGTGTCATTAGGTGGGATCAATTCACCAGCTCTAAGCGGAGGTATTATGGGAGTAGTGCCCCCCGTTTATGGGCCCACTCCAGCGGTCGCCACAAAGGAAGCCATCCATCGGAAACCAATTGAACGCATTTCACACATGGGCGCTAATGAATTTAATGAAGTCATTTTTCTTTAACCGATTTACAAAACTACTTACAACCGGCGGCCCGGGTCCGTCGCCCAGAACAAGCGAGTTCATAATTTCGCATCATTAATCATGGCCCTAACAAAGAGATCTCGGGCAGACCGATTGACAGCCCAGAAAGGGGGAAAGTAATTTAGGCAGCCAGCTTAGATCGCGGTGCGGCCGATTTGCCGCTGGGAAATTAAAAAACAATTGTTAATTATTAAATTTTAAGTCTTACACTTGGCCGCAAACGATGCTCCTTTCATCGGCGGCTATTCTGGGAGCTGTTCCGTAGTGAAAACTGGGGCCAATCTCTGGTCGACACCTCGCTGATGAGATCATTCATCACGGCCGCAACCTGAGTGAAATGAGTTGCCATTGTTGCGGGCTGCAGTTCGTACAAAAGCACTGCGGAGTCGACGGAGACGCTCCTTTTTTATGTGGTCTTTTTTTGGCATGGGTTCATTTCGGTTTGACTGCTCAATTATCACTTTGATGGGTCTGCAGAAGCTGTCGGATCGTGAGGACCCGCATGGAGCCTCGAGAAAGTGTTGGCTTGGGTTTCCATCTGTTAAATTTTTCACATTTGGAGAGGATGGTGCTTTGAAACTCAATAACACTTCCGTAACAATCCAGCGATTTCTGAATTTCTTTAAGTCTACGTTAGAGAAATAGTCAGTTAAAAGTTTTTAACGATGTATATTATAAAATATATAATATACTTACCCTTGGAAAAAACGAACTGTCCAAAGTAAATTTTTATATGGATAAAAACCTTTTTTTTTCTCAATATAAAAAAAAATAGAATAATTAAATTGTTTTTCCGATTGTTGACTGCAAAACACTTATGATTTTTATCAAAAACGACTTCTTCTTATTTCTTCTTAAATCCTTTCGATTTGTATGGTTTTTTTTTTAATCTGAAGAGACTTTCTATAATTATAATTTTCAGATCAATTATATCAAATATCATTCATATAAAAATCCCAAGTCCTTGTTTCAGCTTTTTTCACTCGCAATAATCTGAGCTTTGCTGGCCACCCATTGTGCCTGATTGACCTAAGCCAAAATTGCGTTTTTCTTTCGGCTGACCGAAATGCGATCACGACCGCAAGCGCTGCGCTTCATTAAAATCGGATTATTGTCCAGCCAAAGGGAGTCCTGCCGAAGGACACACAGCTGATCTGACCAATGTCCCCGGGATGGCTGATGGCTGATGGCTGACCAGTGTCCGATTCCCACGATGCAGCCGTGACTATAAATCCCCGAACGTCTTGGGCCGTATGCAAAAACGCAAGACGCCGGGAGATAAAATTAAAATGGAAATGCGTATAAAATCGACTCAGAATCAACCCCAAAAACTCGGAGGAATCTTGGGCGAAAACTCAGGTAATCGGACTGGACAAGCGGAACCCTTTTGGCGCTGCCATAAAGCGGTGTAAA